ATCCTCCTGGTTGATAAGTTGGTGGCACATTATTTTGAGAAAATCGTTTATTAGCATTATTGTTTTGTTGATTAAAGGGAGTCATTGGTAATGGTGGAGGGTTTGGCATAGTAACGTTCAATGTGTTCATGTCATTCGTAAGAGATCCGACCGAATTATCACCTTCACCTAACATCGCCTCCAATTTCTCTCTAACCTCATTAATTTTTGGTCTATCCTCCGGATTGTTACTCCATGCTCTCTCATATAAGATCCGATAATCATCCGGTGTTCCATCAACCGGTTTTTCTCTCTCACCATTTTTAACTTTATTTGATATATCAAAAATATTTTGATTATCAAATGGAGGTCGACCACTTGATATTTCCCAAAGTAATACACCAAGACTATATATGTCCGATGCTTTGTCACGTTGGTATTTAGAGTCAATGAAACATAGTGGTTCTAAATATGCAAACATACCGGTCAAGGCAGACGTTGAGCCAGAACCACTTACTTTAGAAAGGCCAAAATCGGTTATAATTAGTTGATCATGATTAACTAATATATTTTTTGAATGCTAACAATAAAAATCAAATATTAATAAGAAATAAAAATAATAAATATATTCTCAAATAATAAATTAGTAAATCAATATTAAAAATAATAATCACCAAATCTCTATGTATAATATTTCGATCATGAATACATTTAAGCCCACTAGCAATCTGTTTTCCCATGGAAATCTTTTTTTTCCAATCAAGATTTTTAAAATTTTTCTGAAGATAATCTCTTAGACTTCCACCATCTGCATATTGTAATACCATAAAATATCTTGATGTAGCTGGATCTTAATTATCATACATGAAGGAAGGAAATTAATTAATTGCAAGAGAAATATTAGTCAAAGAAATTTATAAATGGAAATATTAATGAACTTACCTTGACTAATTCCAAAAACTCGAATGACATTATCATGAAAATGTACTGATCGAATCAACTTAATCTAATTCGTTTACAAAAGGAATAACAATAAAATAAAAACGGGTAAAAAGAAT